TAAAAAGAAATATTTAAACAGGCCGATCAGTTAAAATTATCCTTAAAAATCCCCTGAAACTTTAAAATCGTTAAAAAATTATCCCTATTTAAAACTCACCCTAGGTCAGGCCCGCTTGTTGAAAAAGCCATGTCTTGAGGGCGCGGCGGAAGGTTAAGAGATCCGGAATCGTCCGGATCTCGGGGGGGTAGTTCGTTCCATGATGGCTTAAGGCTTTGCCATCATGGAAACCACTAGCTACTTTTTAATGTCTTGGCACCTCAACATGTTTTGGAAAGGTGAAGCTGTAGTGAGCATAACAGCAAAGCAAAGATGATGGGAACACATCACACCTGTGAGCAGAGCCAGCTTTTTCTTTTCTTTAGGAACATTTTTTTTACAACATCATATCTATTTTGAGGTTCAGAATACCATTTTAATGTGTTTTCCAGTTCAAATGCTGCTGACGACTGTAGTCTGAAGACGTTCCAAGGACTGAAGACGTTCCAAGGCATATAAGGAACGGTTGCTGGAATTGGGTATGTCTACTTTAATGAAGAAAAGGATTAGGGGTGACATGATCGCAGTTTTCCAATATTTGAGGGGCTGCCACAAAGAAGAGGGAGTCAACCTATTCTTCTAAGCACCTGAAGAAACAATGGATGGAAACTAATCAAGGAGAGAAGCAACCTAGAACTAAGGAGAAACTTCCTGACAGTGAGAACAATTAACCAGTGGAACAACCTGCCTCCAGAAGCGGTGAATGCTCCAACACTGGAAGTTTTTAAGAAGAGACTGGACAGCCATTTGTCCGAAATGGTATGGGATTTCCTGCCTGAGCAAGGGGTTGGACTAGAAGACCTCCAAGGTCCCTTCCAACTACTACTACTACTACTACTACTACTACTACTACTACTACAACTACTTCTTCTTCTTCTTCTTCTTCTTCTTCTTCTTCTTCTTCTTCTTCTTCTTCTTCTTCTTCTTCTTCTTCTTTTCTTCTTCTTCTTCTTCTTCTTCTTCTTCTTCTTCTTCTTCTTCTTCTTCTTCTTCTTCTTCTTCTCCTCCTCCTCCTCCTCCTCCTCCTCCTCCTCCTCCTCCTCATCATCATCATCACACACTCAGCCAGATGTTCAGACTGGATTTGGCATTTTTGTCTACCTATCGAGTCCTTATCAAGGACCTGGGATAGACAGATGTGGATGTTTGAATTGATGGTATTACAGATATAATCGCAGGATGGAAGCTGTTCCTAGTAAGGCCACCTTTTGCAACTGACTGATGGTGAATTTGTCAATGCCAATGGTGTTCAAGTGGTGCTCCAGTTGTTTTGGGATTGCACCTAAGGCACTTATTACTACCTTTGCTTGCCTTTGCCACAGTCATTCTATTTCTATTTGTAGGTCTTTGTATTTTGTTATCTTCTCCAGTTCTTTCTCGTCTATTCTGCTGTCTCCAGGCATTGCCACGTCCACTATCCAGACTTTTTTGTCTTTCTTATATCATCATCATCATCATCATCATCATCATCATCATCATCATCATCATCATCATCATTGCAACAAAAATAAGTGGGGACTGAGGGTTGCAACCTATACATGAGGGCTCCAGCTGTCCTGATAGGATTGTTTACCTGTGACTTAGAGCAGGGGTCCCTAACCCCCGATCCGTGGACCACTATCGGGCTGCGACATGCCAGCAACCGGTCCGTGCAAACAAGCAAAGCCCCATACATGGGATGCAGGCAATACACGAAACCACGCACCCTCCGGTCCACAGAAAAACCTCTCTCCACGGAACCGGTCCCTGGTGCCCAAAAGGTTGGGGGACCTCTGACCTAGAGGATTGGGTTTGACTTAAGATACAGCAACTCCCTATGCTTCTAATAAACTACATGTAGTCCTTGACTTACAACAATTCACTTAGGGACGATTCGAAGTTACAACAGCACTGAAAAAAGTGACCTTTGACTATTTTTCACACCTATGACAATTGCAGCATCCCCATGATCAGGTGATTTGCATTCGGATGCTTGACAACTGACTCACATTTATGACGGTCGCAGTGTCCCAGGTTCATGTGATCAGCTTTTGCCACCTTCTGAGAAGCAAAGGTGATTTACATTCGGATGCTTGACAAATTTCTCACTTAGCAACATACATTTGGGGCTGAACTGTGGCTGAAAGTTGAGAACTACCTGTATATCCAAGCAGAGACGTTTTTTGCACTTGAAAAGAGTTAATTTTTCCACCCTCCACCTCTTTCAGACATCTAAAGATTCTCCATTATTTTATTACTCCACCAAGGATTCCAGAGTGAATACAGGATCCTCTCCAGCTCCCATTTTTTATTCAGCCATCAACAAAAAAGTAAGGATGAGGGACAGAGAAGCCCGAGGCCATTTTAAGAGCTACAGGGCCTTAGAGAAAAGAAAGGGAAGGAGAAACAGACCAGTAATAAAAAAAGAAATTGACATGAGAAGCAGAAGTTAAAAGACTGTATCAGTCTTTTAAAGTAAAAGGAAGAACATGATCTGAAACCTCAAGATGAAGCACTTCTGCTAAAGGATAACATTTCAGGTCTGGTTAGTGTCTTTATGACAGAGCGCATGGAAAAGCCTCATAGCAAAGAATATCAAACATTAAAAGCAAAACTGTGGAGTTATATATGCAGTTACACGTGATGTTTTTGCACCAAAAATTAGCAATGCCTTCGCTATGCTCTTCAAAAAGAATGTATGTCCATCATATTAATCTAAAAGCAATTCTGTTTTTTTTAAAATAATATGTTTATGTTTATGTTTATTTAGATTTGTATACCGCCCTATCTCCCTTACGGGACTCAGGGCGGTGAACAGGCGATAATAAAAATCACAATAAATATCTATTCTAAAATCAAATTAAATAAATAAAGGCCTGCTCTAAAATACCCCATATAAAAACCTATACTAAAACCTAATTAAGACTACGCCAGGCCGGCCGCACGAAATAGATGAGTTTTCAGGGCTCGGCGAAAAATATACCTACAGTATATATACCTATATACTGTAGGTAGTCCTTGACATGACCATTCATTGGGTGATTGTTTTAAAGTTATGACACTGCTGAAAAAAGGCAGGTCTTATGAGGCCCTCAAACCTATGACTGTTGCATCACCCCTGTGGTTATATGATATGTGGTGGCGCAGTGGTTAGAATGCAGTACTGCAGGCTAACTGTGACTACAGCCAGTTCGATCCTGACCGGGTCAAGGTTCACTCGGCCTTCCATCCTTCCGAGGTTGGTAAAATGAGGACCCAGGTTGTTGGGGGCAAGACGTTGACTTTGTAAACTGCTTAGAGAGGGCTGTAAAGACTGTGAAGCAGTATATAAGTCTACATGTCTTTTTTGAGGGAACACAAAGGAAATGATCTTCTTATGCTCGTGTTCAAATTTCATTTCAGCTTCTGTTTGGGCGCTTGGCAACCAGTTTGTATTTATAACCAGGTCCAATGATCCGTAGTAGCATGATCACAATTTGCAACCGTGTTTTTTTTTGGGGGGGGGGCCTTGCTCATTCAGAAGAATGAGTCCACACTTACAACTGTGACATTCGCTTAATGACAATGGATTCGCTTGACAAGCATCGTAAGATGGTAGTCAAATCAGGTCTGACTCAAATTATGATTGCAACAACTTATGATGGAAATTCCAATTGTTGTCCTACACTGAGGAGTACCTGAAGGGTATGTACATGGGCAGACACGAGATTGCATATACAGGTGCACACGCACACTGAAAGGGAATGATGAGGTAATCCTTACTAGAATACATTTCCCGGGTTCTAGACTCCAGACAGAGGTCTCTGTGTTGATCTTGTGAGTAAGGGTGCCTTCCATGAGCACTTGGCGCCCACGTCCCTCCACCACCGACACATGGATTGAACTACTGCCGATGTCCACCGAAACCTGGAAAGAAGCACAGAAAAATGAATTAGCAAGGTGATTCATCCCTTAATAGTCCTTTCTGGGTTACAACAGCAGCAGATTAGAATACAAACGCAATGCAGTACAAAGGAAAACATCACCCTTTCGAATTTGTAATTTATAGACTGCTAGCCTTTATTACCTTAGCAAGTCCACAGGTTCTACAAAATGTAAAGGGATTATTCATAAATAAGGAATGGGTCAGGTTGTGTGGGAGTGACTTGTGTTTCTCTTAGCAGAAGAGAGACAGGAATACATATGTCCAGTAAAGCAGGGCTTTTCAACCAGTGGTATGGGTACCACCTGTGGTACATTGGCACCTGGCAGGTGGTATGCGACCATCCTAGAAAAGTGGTAGCAGGGGAGGGGAATGAGCTGAACCGGCTGCAGCACCGCACAAGTCTGAGAGAGAGACGGCTGGAGCTGCAGGTCTGTCAGGGCTCAGCGGAAGCGCCAGGATCAGTGCCGCTTTCCAGCCGATCGGCGCTTCTTTGGGGCTGTCAGGGCTCAATGGAAGCATCAGGATCAGCGCCAGGCTCCAGCTGGAGCTCGGCGCTGATCCTGGTACTTCTGCTGAGTCCTGAAGCTGGAAAGCAGCACTGATCCTGGTGCTTCTGCTGAGCCCAGAAGAAGCGCCGATCAGCTGGAATGTTGCAGCATCTCCAGGGTCTTGTGATTTACATTCAGATGCTTGGCAACTGATTCATATTTATGATGGTCACAGTGTCCCAGGGTCATGTGAAGTGACCAAAACCTGCTGCAACCACCCAGCAGACGGGGAGGAATAAAAACCAAACACCCCCCACCCCCCGCTGCCAATCTCCAACAGAAATGCTCACAACAATGAAAACCTCGGACAGGAGGAAGAGCGCTGCCGGGTGGACAGGCAGGTGTCTTGCTCGGCTGTGGCTTAGGGGGCACTTTTTTCAGTGCCATTGTAACTTCGAACAGTCACTAAGCGAACTGTTGTAAGTCGAGGACTACCTGTACTTTATCACTTTTTTCCTTTTTTTTTTTTTTTTGGTCAAGTTTTTGACACCTTGCTAGGCGACGGGTGGCACTCGGATGTTGCCATATCCTAAAAGTGGTACAATGGGTGAAAAGGTTGAAAAGCCCTGCAGTATAGGACCCTTTTAAAGTAGACGTGTGCAAAGCCTGGCTGAAATGGAAAATGAAAACAAGCCAGTAGAAAAAGCTGATCTTTCGCAGAATATAGTCCAGGATTGCCAAGGGGAAAAGGTGGAAGGCTAATCCTTTTATTGCGAGCTGTTCCCTCCAGGGGGGAGTCAGGCTCCTCATACACATCAGCAACGGCAACTACAGGACATATGCAGTCAGGTATAGGGCGCAGGTGCCTCAATGTTTCCAGGAGGAAGAGGTAGCATTATCAATATCAAAATACTACTCTTTTGCAGTACTAAAACTAGGAGTAACTTAACAAGGAATTGACCTTATTGAGCCATTTTCTCAGAACTGGGCCTCATCATTTAAAAAGCCAGGGTGGCGCAGTGGTTAGAATGCGGTATTGCAGGCTAACTCACTGCTCACTGCCAGGAGTTCAATCCTGACCGGCTCAAGGTTGACTCAGCTTTCCATCCTTCTGAGGTTGGTAAAATGAGGACCCAGATTGTTGGAGGCAATCTACTGACTCTGTAAACCGCTTAGAGAGGGCTTTAAAGGACTATGAGACGGTATGTAAGTCTAAGTGCTACTGCTATCTTGTAACAAACAAGCATCTGAAAGCAGACATTTAGCAATTGAATCACCCATTTTTTCCCCCTTGCTTATTGTCTCTGAGGTTATCTCCTTGTTAAGTGCTTCTGCATAATTCATTATTTAAATGTTATTTTACAGTGTAATTGTATACATGTTTACCCTGAAGTAAGCGCTATTAAGACCGGTGGGATTCAGAGAATAGAACCCTCCAGATTCTGCTGATCTACCCACCTTCCTTGTCTACTGATTGTACGGGTTAGGATTGAGAAATCTTAATGCATCTATCCCTGGAGGTCATGGGATTCCTGCCTCTGGCATATAGCCCTGCTTGAGTTTAGAAGTGAATACTGGTTCTCAACCTTTTTAATGCCGCGACCCCAACCGGTCGTAAGTCGAGGACTAAACCGGTCGTAAGTCAAGGACTAAACCGGTCGTAAGTCGAGGACTACGCAACTGGTCGTAAGTCGAGGACTTTCCCTGCCCGGGAGCGCCGTGCATGCGTGGTTCCGCCCCCTGCACCGGCCAAGGCGTAGCTGGCAAGCGGCAGAGACGGAGCAGGCCGACCACCAGCTGGCCCAGCCAAAGGAAGGTAAGGCACCCGCCGGAAAAGGGGGGGAAAAATGGTGGACAAAAAAAATGGCGGACAAAAAAAATGGCGGACAGCCTTGCTTGGCGACCCCCGTGAAATGGTCGATCGACCCCAAATGGGGTCCCGACCCACAGGTTGAGAACCACTGGAATAGAAAATATATTTTATATGGCCATTGAGTTCTAGAAAGACAGTTGGTTTAATAAAAAGTATGTAGACCCAGCAAACAAGTAGCTTTGGAGAGCATTTCATTGGCTTAAGGAATAAGTGACATTGGCCATACCTGGGTTCAGTTGTTAAGGGTTACAACCTTGTCATTTTGTTAACATGCAGAATGCACACAGACCTACAACTATAAATACTATATTAACAAGAAATCTTTCTTTTCTTGTCTAAGATACAGACAGCTAAGGTGGACTGCATTTTCTGCAAGAATGTAGTAATAATGCCCAACCCAATTGCATAACCCAGATCAACACGTTCCAGGTACAAGTCACTTGTCAGAGTTAATTCTATACCAATGTTTGTATCGCTCAGTTCTAATGCTGGGCAGATAACAGTTATCAATCCCCCTAGTATTATTCCATTAAGTCTAGAGTAGTAATCTTTCATTGACCATCACTTTCAATGCTCAGCAACAGATCTTTATAACCAAAGATTCCCTCCCCTTTCATTGCCCTGAGATGGTTATTATAAAGGATGGAAGCAAACAGAAATAATGACATGTATGGACTTCTAATTATATGCGAATAATTCAATATACTCCAGAAACCAAGACGCCCAAGATTGCAACCTAGACATAGAAGAAAGAGGAAGCTCACAGCATTTTTTTTCCAGCTATTTTATTGCTGAGCAGGTGAAGGAGAATGAGTTGTAGTGAACTAGGAAGATGAGCCTCTTAGGATAAGCCACGTGTAAACGTGGCCAATGCTAAATCAATTTAGTTTCAGTACTGCACATCAGTCAAACAAAAATCATTTTTTGCCGGTTTTGTTTTCTGATTACAAAGATTGTCTTAGTAAAACTGCACTGCGCTTCGGCGAATGGGATTTATATTCAGGAAAAGAAAGAGCAAAATAAGAAAAATAAGATTAAGCGAGTACAACATTTGTCCAACTGGGGATTGCAGGGCTGGTAGGTGCTTTTGCTGCTTCTTTGGGCTGTTCCTTTTTTTAATGAAGTTTTTAAAAGTTGAGATTGAAAAACAAAGCCCAACACACTCATCTCCAAGATGCTGCACTACCCAAGGAGAAACAAACTACCATTGCTTCCAAATTGCAGATTTGTTGCTGTCCGGTCACTAAGTCGTGTCCAACTCTTCCCAACCCTATGGACTGTAGCATGCCAGGCTCTCCCAGAGTTTGCCCAAATAAAACCCAATGGATAGTATGAAAAGGCTAAAATTATAGATAGTCCAATACTTACAACCCAATTTTGAAGTTCTGACACCTACACACCTACACACACACACACACACACACATCCCATGGTCACATGACTGCATTTTGGGTGCTTGGCAGCCAGCTCGCAATTATGGCCGTTTAGAGCAGGGGTCTTCAAACCTGGCCCTTTTATGACTTGTGAACTTCAACTCCCAGAATTCCTCAGCCAGGCACGGAATTCTGGGAGTTGAAGTCCACAAGTCATAAAAGGGCCAAGTTTGAAGACCCCTGGTTTAGAGTATCCTGCAGTCATGGGACTGTGGTTTTCCATTTTTTTTGCCAGGGGATCCAGCATTTACTTCTAGTTTCCAGCAAAAAAACCCCACCCTCGTGTAAAACGGATTCAACTCAGTGACTATGTTTACTTAATGGCTACTGCAAAGAGGGTGACATGATGGCCCACCTAACCATCACAACGACCTCCAACCATAATTCCAGGGTCAGTTATGATTGTAAGTCAAGGACTACCTGTATAGCAGGAAAAACAAATAGCCAGTGTGACTCTGGAAGAGTAGGCTAAAATCCTTGGTGCAAGGAGCTAAACCTGGTTACGACGCAGTGGGAAGCCCTCCAAGCTGTGGACTAGACAGCACTTTCTAAATTCATGATCTCAGGAAAGTCTCCTGCTTTGCTTCATGTGGGGAGAGAGGGAGAACAGTCCTTCTCCAGTTTTCTTGGCTGAGGCTCTCCTGAATGCTTTAAAGAAAAACAGTTTTTCATGCCCCGCGCAATTTATGGCATCTTCTGCCACAAGAAAGACCAATTGTTTAGACTGCTTTAAATTTCAAGAGTAGATAAATTTATAGAGGAAGGGCTATAAATAAGTATTGCCTAAGACCATTTAATGTTCAGAGGCAATATGCCTCACCGAGTGGGAACGAGCAATAATTGACAACGATAAAGAATTTGTGGGGAACACTTGATCTTCCGTTTGATACACGGGATGCTGACCCTAGGATAATCTGTTCCAGCTCACAAATAATGCTAAAGGTTAACCACAGTTGAATGTTCAATGGATAACTTTTGGGTTTATGTACTTGTCCTTCCTCTCTTCTCTTCTGGCACGGCCACGACTGATTCGGAAGTCTTAATTTTTGCGTTCAATGAACTATGGGCTGCTCTGTACACATGAAACAGAACTGTGGTTAATTACAATTTAGGAAAACCCATATGCTTTAATCCACACATGATGCCCCCCCCTTTTTTTGTGTTTGTGTGCCTTCAAGTTTGTGTTT